GTATTGTATTGATGGACATCAATAATATCAATAATGTTCATATAAACACTGTAGTAGTAGTACATTTACGTCTTTCAAAGAAAAAAGAAAACACATGTGCCCTGGATCGTGATCTTTATTTAATAAACATCATAATAAGAATAATAACCCTAAACTGTTTTCTCAAGGTCCCTACGAATAATATAAAAGATCCATGACATTTTCAATGTTTGAAATTTCCACACAAAAAAATACAAAAATCTTTTTTGTTTCTTTTATATTTATTATGTACTAAAACAAAATACATATTTATTTGTATTACATAATGTATATGCTTTGTAATTGTTCATTTATCCATCTATCTATCTATCTTTATGTAATCTTGCGATTAGAATAAACATTCAATATGTCAACAACAACAATAATAATAACAACGAAAAGGTTTATAATTCATGTGATATAAATGAAGAAAGGAAGTATCGATGTACTACTAAATTATAAATATCAAAATTAGAAATAAAAAAATTTAATGCAAAGATGGATAGTGGCTAGAAGTGGAATCTAGGACTCGCGTTTTGTCCTAATGGGACTTAATAGGTCCTGGATTCCACTGCTAGTCGCTATTCATCTTTTCATTTTAATGCTTGTGAATTAAGGTTATATTGAGGCAGTACACACAGTATGCACATGTGCCAATAAGAGACTGATCAATTACAGTCCTAAATAACAATCGGATGATGCAAGTAAACAACCCGAAGTGAATTTTAGACTTTACCCTGTTACACAACCAATTAGCTTTCAGGACTCAGTTGCTAAGTGGGTAACACGATGGTGTTTGAAGCAAACGGTACTGAGTCCGAGCCCCAGAGTGGACATCAACTCTGGGATGCAGGTATATTCAACTGACGAGTCCCAAGTAGGATGAAATGCGCGTCTTGGATTCCACTACTAGCTACTATCCATCTTTGCTTATAATGTTTATGACCTATGGCAATATCGAGGCATCGCACAGAGGATGTTAATATGTCAATAACAGACTGATCAATTGCAGTCCTAAATAACAATGGGAAGATTCAAGTAAACAATACCAAGTGAATATAAAATATTAAAGTTTATTAAAGTTTGTTTATATTAGCTAAGGACTAATTTGTACTAATGTTGTTAATTTTCAATCTTATAGTCTAAAAAAAAGCATTTCAACATAGTGCACGTAATACCGAGTCATTTAGACTAATGGCCATATTGCAACTTGTTCGATAGCATTGGATTTACACTAAGAAGGACTTGACACATATGATATAGATCATTATCTAGTGAATAATCAATTGTGGAAACATCTTTTTTATTTATACATAAAATGAAGGTTATTGACGAATGCCAACTAATAAGAAATTTACATCAATTAGTCTCTCTTAAAGATTAAACCCAATTATTTTATATCTTGCAATAATAATAATAATCATATAATACTGGACTATATATACAACAACTCGCATTATAATCCAGTTACATTTATATGGATTCCTTGAAGTAATACTATAACACCGTTGGATATCGGCTCTACAGGTTAAACGTTTGTACACAAAAACAAAAGTACTGGGTTTGAGTTCAAAATCGTGGATACGTACTGCTAAGAAGTTCTATACTAGGACAAAACGGTTGTCTAGTGTTTCCAGGTTTTTTTAGCGGGCAATCGCTGCATATAAGTGTTATTTTTCCCAAGACTTTGATTTGAATCATTTGAAGCTATCTTTGAATTTTTCATAAAATAGGCATTGTAGCGCATCCTAAATTGCTTACTTACTTACGTCTGTTACTCGCAATGGAGCATAGGCCGCCCACCAGCATTCTCCAACCCACTCTGTTCTGGGCCTTCCTTTCCAGTTCTATCCAACTATTGTTCATTCTTCTCATATTTGTCTCCATTTCTCGGCGTAATGTGTTCTTCAGTCTTCCTCTTCTCTTTCGGACTTGAGGATTCCATGTGAGGTCTAGATATGTGACGCAGTTCGGTGCTTTTCTCAATGTGAGTCCTATCCACTCACAGCGCTTCTTCCTGATTTCCTCGTCCGCTGAGATCTAGTTTGTTCTGTCCCACAGTAGGTTGTTGCTGATAGTATCTGAACAACGGATACGAAGCATTTTACGTAAACATCTGTTAATATACACTTGTATCTTTTGGATGATCGCTTTCGTAGTTCTTTGAGTTTCTACTACATACAGTAGATCTGTTTTGACAGTTGTATTGAAAATTCTGAACTCGGTATTGGTTAACAGACAGTTGTTTCGAGTTCCAAATGTTGTTCAACTGTAGACATACCTCTCTCATTTTGACAATCCGTGCTTGCATATCTGCATCAGATCCACCGTGTTCATCAATGATGTTGCCCAGATATGTAAAGGTTTTTACATCTTCCAAATCTTCTCCGTCAATTGTGATTGGATCGGTGCATGCATCCTAAATTATTCAATGAAATTAATAAACATATTAAAAGCCAAACCTTGAAATGAAATCTTCCATGAAAATTATGCTATTATGTGTTATACATACTTATTAAATCAATGACAAAATGCTAGATATTACACACACTATCAGTACCTTAAGACAAATGGGTCACAAATTTACATACATATACTTTATCTTTTTAATTAATTGTATTTGTCTTTTTGGATCTATTAAAGATTTTGTTAAACCTGAAGATTACTGAATTCAGAGATATTTCGTTAAGCTAATATAAAAAACAAGTAACACTTTGTATGAGGTATCATTAAATTGAGAAACTAAATACTTTAGTGAAGTAATAGGGGTTTGAACGTAGTAACTTAAAATACTAGGAAAATATATATTATGTCAAGTCTTTTGTTTCGACAAATGATATACCTTAAAGTGTAGTGACAGAATATCTTCACTTTGATAGTAATATGCATAGTTTAGAATAATCAATGAACTTCATATCTTCATACTTTTCTCATATCTGACATAGCTGCATTTTGTTGATCACTGCTCTACTCTACGACACAAGGAATATTTCTCTAAGTAACACAATAGTAAGAATATTTTTATGATCGGTTTAATAGGTTCGCTAAGATCGTTCTCTTGATGAACTTGAGGTTTAAATAATCAGCGTTTGAATACATTCGTAGAGTGCGCACTACTGATGTGTCCTATACAAGGACGTAAAAGATGATCCCATAGCTACAATCAGCTTGTGTTATATGCGGTAAGTTTTACAATTTCAACGAATGTTCTATAGAAAATGTATACCAATTCATTATACACATTACTAATCGCATATTCTTATTTCTACATAATGTTGATTGTTTTATCTAACTACATATCGATATTAAATAGCCAATATAACTTATTATATATATATGCTAGGTTAAACAATAAGTTAGTGACAAATCAAACAAATAGAAATATTATGCGCAAGAATGGATAGTAGCTAGTAATATAATCCAGAAGGCTTGTTTCTTCCCTTATTTGGAACTCGTACATTGGGTGTACCTACACTTCAGGGTTGATGTTCACTTTGTGGCTCAATCTCGCTACCGTCCACTTAAAACGTCATCACGTTATCTACTTAACTACTGAGTCCCAGGATGAACATCAACTCTGAAATGCAAATACATTCAGCTGACGAGTCCCAGATAAGACGAAACGCACATACTGGTTATAATTGAAATATTGAATACCGGTAAAAATGATTGTAACACTACATGTTACTTAACTAACATGAGTATGTTTTTCTTATTGCTAGGCATCAATTAAAACTCCGCCTGGAGTCCCTCCGGGGGCATCTGCCTGTCCCGAGAAGGAGGGTTGGGCATGGGGTTAGCAACCCCATCCCGTAGAAAACTAACTCGCTAAAAGGAAGCTAACTAGAAAAAATTATTCGAACCTTTTAAACTCTGCCCTGGGAGTCAGATGGTCTTCTTCTTCAGGCAGCAAAAAGTAAATGTACTGGAAGGAAAGGAAAAAGCCCTACCTTCAGAACGATGGGTAAGACTATTTTATAATAAATTTCCCATTTTAGTACCTGAATTATTATCTTTTAGCTTTTCAAAATATATCTCTTTTTTGTTGCTAATACATCACATTCTTACTCCAGATGAATTTACTGATTTTGACTTCTGTGTTTTATTGTTTCAGATCATTACCACCTCCAAGTAATAATAATACATGTTACATAACAATAATTTGAACTTTTTAAACAATTGAGATCATGAGTCAATTGAAGCTAGACCGCTATGGAAAACCTGGGAGCACTGGACGGCCGTTTCGTCCTAGTATGTGACTCTTCAGCCGTGCGCAACCACGACCCCGTCTCATGAATTTCAAACCCAGGATCTATCACTGTCACGTCAGGCGCTTAACCAACCAGACCACTGATCCGGCATCTAACGGTGTTAATATCTAACTTCAACTGATCCACGAAATTGAGCGACACATCCACCATTGTCATCAGTGAGTTACTATCTCACAACTGACTCGATTGAACTCCACTGGTCACTGCTTCTCACTAGAACTCCAGGATATATATCTTGAAGCCAGTCACTAATGAGTATTAGAATCAACTGTTTAAATTACTACAATCTCCACAAAACCCCTTTTGATAATAACTTTAACATTTTTTCTTATTTTTTTGTAAATCATATAGAATTTGTATGCAAATTTAATTAAATGTTTATTAAAATGAAATAAACATAAAAAGTATTTGTTTAAGTAATAAATAAATAATTAATTAAATAAATCACTTTTACAGTAACTAAGGCAACTAAAAATAACTTGAAAATATACAATATTATGCTGATATAAAAAAAATCAATAATGTAAACGAATTCAATTCAATGAAAAATCAATCTAGAATAAACAACAAAAACAACAACAACGACAAAACTATCGAATACAAATAGTGAATTGTTTATTTAAGTTTATATTTTCAAAGATAAATAACAAGAGAGAAAAAAGAAAAAACAAAAAAACAAAAAAAGCGAAAAAAAACAAAAAAAGATTCTATTCAATCAAAATTACGATATCGTCTAGGTACAGCATTATAAAAACAAAAACGATATTCTGGGAAACATCGACAACGATGATAATCTTTTATTTCATTACTTCCTGATGGTATAAAACTCATATAATACCATTCAGTACAACCAAATTTTTGACATAATTTAAAACATAATTTTGCTGTTGGTACTACACATAAAAAATTTCCAGTAGCTATTTATTGAAAAGAAAATAATAAGAGAAAAGTGAACTAATGAAAAATTTATTCTTTATTGATTAATTGTATCAAGAAAAAAAGAAATATTGATCAGTTTATGATCTACAACCCATACTAATGATTATCTTCAAGAGATAGTTCTGAGAGTTTTCATAAGAAGTTGTGACCAGTGGAGTTCAAGTGTGTTGAATATCAGACAGTTAACCATCGAAGACGATAGAAAATAATCACTCAGTGTTGTAGATTGATCAATGTTAGACAAGCCTCCAAATGCCCTGGTATGGCCGAGAGTGGGGAGAGTCTGCTCCCCCTCTCGAAATGTTTTCACATGGCCTCGCGTATATAGTCACTGCCAGGGAAGTCCTACTCACTGCCTTCTCGTGGCAGGGGTGATGTTTACGAAAATAAGAAGACGAAAAGCAAATGTCCGGCGCTTTAACCGAATCCAAAACCAATGGTCCACATGGGCTCCAGTATCCTGCGGGAACAAATAGCGTATGAACCAATTGTTGGTCACTGGCTTCCATGGGACTGCATCTCCTTACGATATTCCACTGCCTTGTGTATCAGACCCTCAGGTCGAAAGCTTGGTGAGTGGCTCTCTAAGAAAACTACCTGCTTCGGTTTGGGCACCCGGGCAGTATCACAGCCCTCACACATATCGAATGAGATTTGTGTGGCGCATTTATATCCGGTGCCACCTTGTACCAATATCTATGTGTTAAAATAAATAAATGATGGTAGACATTAACATTTTTGGACACTGGGTTAAGAGTCCAGAGGTTAGATGTTCACATGTGGAACTGAAGTGCCTGGGTTCCAGTTCCGTATACGGGATAGTGGATGAATACGATTAATAAGTCACATACTAAGATGAGAAGGCAGTTCAGTGCTTTTGGGTTTTCGATGGTAGTCCAACATTGATCTATTTTTTTAATTTCATTAATTGGAATGGTTTCTTTGTTTTTGCTTTGTCAATGCTTTATATGAAATAATCTTACTGTTCCTTTATAAATTGATTTGTTTTGTTGCAGATTTGCTATAAGTTTATGTTTAATTAACTTCATTAATTTTCATGTAAATATATTAAAATCCATTATTTAAAAACTAACATCTCAATAAAGTTTACCCCTAAGAATCACAATTAATAACTCCGGTATCAAGTCATAGAGATATCACATAACAAACGAACATATGTATGCAAAGATAGATTGTAGTTAGCAGTGGAATCCAGAACACGCGTTCCGTCCTATTTGGGACTCGTCAGCTGGATGTACCTGCATCCTAGAGTTGATGCACATATGCCAACAAGACTGATCAATTACAGTCCTAAATAACAATGGGAAAATACAAGTAAAACAACGCCAAGTGAATCTAAACTTCACCCCGTTGCACAAACAAGTGGCTATCAGGACTCAGTTTCTAAGTAGGTAACACGATAACGTTTGAAGCGAATGGTACTGAGTTCTAACCGAAGAGTGAACCTCAGCTGTAGGATGCAGGTAAATGCAGTTGACGAGCCTCAAATAGGACGAAACGAGTGTCCTGGATTTCATTGCTAACTACTATCTATCTTTGCATAAAATGCTTGTGAATTAAGGCTATATTGAGGCAGTACAGAAAGTATGTACATGTGCCAATAAGAGACTGATCAATTGCAGTCCTAAATAACAACGGGAAGATTCAAGTAAAACAACACCAAGTGAATGTGAACATGTATATCGTTCACTTATAACCAACAAATTGTAAGAGACCATTTTGTATTCACTAGTTACTGAATTCCAGAAGTTAAGACTAATGTTATTTAGTCTTACCGAATATGAGATTGGTATAAGCGATAGTTACACATGATAATCACACAATAAAATGAGTAATGACATAACACCATTGAATGTCAACAAATGAGTTCAAATGCAGTATTTAAATTAGTTTTAAGTCTTTATATTTAGGTGAAAGAATGAGTGTCCATTAATAAAGAGTTCTTTGAATAGGCAAAACATTTATGCCACATTCAATAATTGCCTATTCACCTATCAATAAAGACTATTTCTTATATGTGAGATTTTTTTAAATAACAACATATAACAAGTTAGAAATTTAGTGATCTGGATTTCTATTAGAACTATACCTTTTTTTCTTGGAACCATATCTGACTAGCTTAGATACTTATTTACTCCTGTTACCTCTCACAAAAGAGCATAGGCCACACACCAGCATCCTTCAGTCAACTCTGTTCTGGGATATCCTTTTCAGTTTTTTTCCAGTTGTTATTCATCCTTTTCATATGTGCTTTCAATTCCCGATGTGCTGTATTCTTCCACCTTCCTCTTTTCCGTTTCCCTTCAACAGTTCCTCAAAGTATTCCATCCATCTGTTCCTCTGTTCTTGAATTCAGTTATTGGCTCGCCTTCTTTGTCCTTGACCGGTCTCTTCGGTTTACTATATTTCCTTGCCAGTTTCTTCGTCGTGTCATATAGTTGTTTCATGTTTCCTTCTTTTGCAGTTTTTTCCACTGTCGTTGCTTTCATGTATTTCTGCTTGTCGGCTCCAATGCTCTTCCTTTGTTTGCTTGCTTCTGTGTATTCAGCTTGTGTCTTGAGTTTCTCTGTTCTCGAATTTGTTGAGTTTGTCAGCATATCGAAAGAAGACTGTATTGAACCTTTGTAATGCTGTTTCTCCAGGTGTCAAACTCCTCTTTAGCTCAAGTTTCATCTTGAACATAACCAGGTGGTAATCTGAAGCTATGATGCCATCATACTCACTGTTGTCCATTCCGATTTTGTTGTTTAGTCCTCTCACCAGGATTGTCAGGTCCTTTACTGTGCACCTCGCTTCGGTCGATTGCAGCCTATCGTAAAAGTGATCTTTATTGTCGTCATTGCTATCATTGGTGAGTGCACAAAATTGGATAAAATACAGTGTTGTTTCCACTTTCTTTGTTTTAAATGATGCTTTGATGATCCTGAATTCATGAGATCCCCATCCTATAGGTGCATCGTGTACTTCTTTGGACAGCATCACAGCGGCTCTCTGAGTGTGTGGAGCGACCTCCTCCTCGTGACCAGAGTACATTAGCATCTCTTTCATATCTAGAGTTTGTTGTCCAGCTTAGGTTCAATGGGTTTCGCTGTTTCCGAGTACTACCAAGTTGCATCTTCTTATTACCGTTGCTATTTGACTGGACTGTCCAGGCTCCCACACTGTGCGGACGTTCCATGTACCTAGAAAAATTGTAACTTTGATTGCTATAAGGGGTATCGGCCTCGTGAATTCCGAAGAATCTTGACTGTATTCATGAGGTGTCATAACTCTTCCTTCAACTCCCAGGGTAGATTTTAAATAATTTAATTTATTTAGTCTGGATGTCGTTTTTTTAACAAGATTTTTTTCTACGGGGTCGGGTTTCCGATTCCATACCCAACCCTCCTGCTTTACCCTGGCTTTAGACCGGCAGTTGCCCTAGAATAGTTACAGGCGAAGTTACATCTAGCTACGGATTAATAATGAAAATCGAAAACGTAGGAGAGAGACAAAAATATTTTGATGATAACCTAATTTACTCTCATAAAATAAATAATAAAAGCTACAAATATCTAGGATTCTAGACATTGATAAGTCATTTTGTAGTAATTAATCCAGAGAATTGAATTCCGGAGTCGATCTAAGCTAGACAACTATTGCAAACCTGAAAGCAATGGACGACCGTTTCGTTCTAGTTTGAGACTGTCAGCAGTACGCACTTACGATTCTGCAATCGAATCCAGGACCTTCAATTTTGCACGCAAACGTTTAACCTGTAGATCAATGAGCCAACATCCAACAGTGTTAATGTCTAATTTTAATCGATCAATAATCTTGTGCAACCCTTTATTCATTGTACCTTATCACGGTTCATTAGTTGAAAATGTATTTGTTAGGCATTGAATTTCGTTCGGTTTGGCCTGCAGGAACCTCCTATTTACGAACGATACAGATCATTGTTAAACGAATGGAATCTACTGTAAGTAAAATAAGATCATAACTGACACCTATAACCTTTCAATAATAACCCTCAAAAAGGGTATCACTAAAGAAGTCAGTTATATAAAGAAAAATTTGATATTTGACAGAGATAAAACAAAATGGATTCATTCCATATACATAGAAACATAGAAAAACTACCGAATCAAAAGTAATGACGACCATTCAATAACACAAATTTTAAAAAACTGTAATCACAGTCACAGTTACAAGAGAGAACGAAAGTTTTTTAGCATAACTAGATAATTTGAGATTCTCTTAATAGTATTACATTGATGTCACTTATAATCTGAACCACTATGGAAAACCTGGAAGCACTGGACAGTTATCTCGTCCCATTATGGAACTCCTCAGCAATACTCATCCACGACCCCATCCCGTGGGGTTCAAACCCAGGATATATCAGTCCCTCGTACGGACGCTTAACCTCTAGACCACTGAGCCGGCATTCAATGGTGTTAATATCTAACTTCAGCTAAACATCTGTGAAAATTTAAAATGATAGTTGAGTAACAAAACAAATGCTCAAATGATCTACGGAATTAATTCCTATAAAGTGATGTTGTCAGTCAAGCAGGAAATGAGTACGTTAACGTGATAAGTTTTTTTCCAAACATTTTTTGGTTATCTTACATAGGCTACAGGAATATACATCAATAAACTTAACGAGACTGATAGGTCCCGGGTTCGAATCCAGCGAGGCAGGGTCGTCGATGCGCACCTCTGAGGAGTCCAACAAGGGGACGAAACGGCCATTCAGTGCTTCTTGGCTTTCCATGGTGGTCTAGCTTTAACTGACTCATGAACTTAACTATTGAAAAAAACTTAACTTCTATATGCGGGAAAAGTGTGCACGATCTATTCATTAAACCATTACATTTGTCAGAATTTTTTGAATTTTTCAAACCATACGATCTCGTCAAATTTCAATTTTTGATTCCAATCATACGTAATGTTTAATAATCTGATTACGATGTTCATATTGAGCCTAATCAGGTACTCTGCATCTACCACCATGGCTCAGGCCAGAAGTTAATGACTTCAAGGACTGATGCCACTTTTTAGTTTAGCCGCCCTTAACATTCTTCCAACCATCTCCAACACCAGTCAACATTGTGCATCATATTAATCGGTGTTCAGGCATACGTATGAAATGGCCCAGTTATCTCAGTCGATGAAGATTCACAACTATTAATCTTACAGATGATTCAAAATATTTACATTTATATCCAGTTTCAATTGCTAATTCTACTTTCATTTAACTAGTTATGATAATTTATCGGTTATGAAATCTCATCAAAGTTTTCATATTACAAATGTTGATTACGATATTGTGAAATTAACTTACCATTATTTTCCCCCAAATGCCCTGGTATGGCCGAGAGTGGGGTGGGCCCGCCCTCCCTCTCGAAATGCTCTCACACGGCCACGCGTATACAGCCTCTGTCAGGGAAGTCCTACTCACTTCCTTCTCGTGGCAGGGGTGATGTTTACGAAAATGAGAGGACGAAAAACGAATGTCCGGTGTTTTAACCGGATCCCAAACCAATGGTGCACATGGGCTCCTGTATCCTAAGGGAACAAATAGCGTATGAACCAATCGTTGGTCACTGGCTACCATGGGACTGCATCTCCTCACGATGCTCCACTGCCTTGTGGGTTAGACCTTTAGGTCAAAGGCTCTTGGTGTGGTCTCCTAAGAAAACCACCTGCTTCGGTTTGGGCACTAGGGCAGTATCACAGCCCACACACACAAATATGGTATGGCGCATATATATTTGGTGCCATCTTGTACCAATATTTTTGTGTTCAAATAAATAAAATAAAATAAATACCATTATTTAGTTATTACTGACTTTAAAATCAATATTTTGTGGAACTTTGATGTGAAACTCACTGAAAAACAATATTTCTTCCCTCAAGTGGTATTTTACATGACTCAATATGAACTATGTATGTGATGAATACAATTGCAGTTTAATGATAATCTTATTAAGTAGTATTATCTTTATTAATCTACAGAAAAAATATTCACCCCTTAGAATTTCATTATTTAAATTTATTTTGTTCAAATATTACCATTAGTATTACCCACATATATTCGTTTATTATTATCATCATTTATATCCCACGTCCGGGATCGTGGATCGTGCGTACTGTTGAAGAGTCTCAAACTAGAATGAAACAACCGTCTAATTCTTCTAGGTTTTCAATAGTAGTCTAGCTTAAATTAACTCATGGTTTCAACTATGAAAATGCTACAATCTTCAAAATTTTCCCATACTAATATATTTTATAAACACATGAGGAATTTGGTTAGTACTCACCTTAATCTATCACTTTTTTCATTTTACCAACACTATGTATTACGCAGTCTTTGACGAAGTATTTGATCTGATCTGTAATTACATTACGTCTCGCTCATCCTATATTAACTATGTTCATTCTGTTTAATAATCTCATAAGTTTAAATGATTTATGAACTAAATCGACTTAAAATTACAAACCAGTCATTTGAACATGAACAGGTTACTGTGATTTTAAAAGATGTAGTTACTGTAAACTTGACCACTAAATTCAGTAAACTTAATTTTGATGAAAATTTGTTCGCCGAACTGGATGATTTGATCGTGGAGCTTTCATCGTTCTTCTAAACGACATCATCAGCACAAACTTGATCTTTTTTTGCTTAACGGAGGGTTGTTGGGATTTTCAAATTATTAAGGATTACACCATGTAATTATCTTAAACAACCAATGAGAATCAGAATGAGCTTAACAGCTATTTGTTTCTAATATGGGACTCCTTAACAATGTTCATCTATGATCTCACCGAGACATTTAGCTTCTAGTTTAATAAACATGTAAAAACATGAAATGTTCAGTGTGTGAAGTTAGTTGGTTAGTTAGGGAATATGTACAACTTACCATTATGAAATCGATAATCATCTTCTGGACATGGTTTTGTAAATGTTAATTTATCCATTAAATTGTTATTTGCATATATATCTGTAACATTTATGAATAAACAAAATGTAAATGATTACTACATTGTATACTTTGAGATATATATACATAACTATGCATAATTATTATTCACAATTTAAAAGTACCATAACTATGTGACATAAGAAAATTATCCCCAAATATATTCAGAGAGAGGTTTTGTGGATATTCTAATAATTTAATAGTTGAGATCATGAGCTGTTTCAACCCAGTATGGGACTCCTCATCGGTGCGTATCCACGATCCCTCCTCGCGAGATTCGAACCCAAGACCTATTGGTCTCGTGCGCGAACGCTTAACTTCATGACCACTAAGCCAGCTTACATCCAACTTTGTTAATGTATAACTTCAAATAATCTAGCTTATGTTGACTCATGAATTCAATTATTAAATTACTATAATGAATTAAAAGATGCTTTTCAGTTTTGGTTTCAACATAGTTGATTTCACAAGTCTGAGCCTCTTATATTTATTTGAAGCTATAGTGTGAAGCTCATTAGTATAGCGTTATTCTATTAGGGTGTCGTGGAGGTTCGGTTCTCAAAATAGACTTCTTCGGTGTTTGTATTTTTACATGATTGTTCAGCTGATGTTAATCGATTACAGAAATAATCTTCAAATTATTTAATCTACTTTTGTTATTCAGAAAGACTAGAGGTAATCTAATCACAATCTTCAGATTGATATATCATCGTTTGGTTTGTCTTCCAGAATAGTGCATTTATGAGGAAATTCCAAAAGTTTTCTCATGCTAATAATTGACTTTTCCATTTTATCAATAACCCGTGAAATTCTCTACCTTATGACATGATTGAACCTTCATAAGTTGTTCATCTATTTCAACTTTACTGTTTCTTTGTTTCTAATATTTAGTTGAACTATTGTAGTGAAGGAGAACACAGGTGAGGACAGCCGAATCATGTTTAGCAGAACATTACAGAGTTACTTGGCAAAATAGAAAACCCATACTATAATACCTAATTTGGAAAATCTTCAATAGTTGTCTCGGACTTCATTGTTCTTGAATTTCCATACTAATTGCTTTCTATTCTCGTTCTTCCTTTCTTGATCTTCTCAATCTTGTTCTGGCAGCCATTACATTCCTGACTTGCGTTACATACTACTTATGTCAATATAAATAGCACGCACCACAGTATCAGTGATTTAAGAATAATACTTATAATCACTTCCTTTAGTATTATATATTTCATTCAGTAAAATAAACAATTATTAATATAAGTTTACGATTCACTTGGTGTTGTTTTACTTATATCTTCCCATTGTTATTTAGGACTGCAATTGATCAGTCTCATGTTGACATATGCGCATCCTGGGCGGATTGCTTCGATCATATTATTGGCGGCCAACTTGAGTATCTGAGCTACCTGTTCCTGTTTTTTTTGGGTTTTAATACACCATTATGTTTGTTAATCAGGTAATTTATTCAGATGACTTCATGAAAAGTTAACAACTTTTTACTGTACAAGTTACAAAAATGCCCAGAGATATTGTTATAGTTAGTTATATAATATACCCATGTAGGTCAAGGTAATTTTACATTGATTTTCAGGAGATTCAAACACCGTCCACACTTTCACGTGACAACCCTAACAGTACAGCTCAATCCCGTTTAACAGGAGAGCCAGACATCTCCCAGGCTTAAAATTTGTAGCCTAAATAATATAGATCAATCCCGTTTCCAGGAGAACTAGACACTATATAGACTTTGACGCTACAACCTCAATAGTACAATTCAATCCTGTAATGCAACTACACAAGTACGAAGCACCCTGGTGAACGATTCGCACCATTCATATACATATTCACGTCACATGTATAATTATTCCGATCAATGATCGCGTGAATTAATTATGCACAGCACGACTAGGCCAAAATTGATCTATTCCGCTTACATGACAGTTAAACTCATTAATATTAACAATGGCAATATGTCATTCAATCGTTAGTAGTGACAGTGTGGTCTATTGTTTAAATTTTTGGTTTAGCATTCGGAGATATTGTGGTTGTTAATAATATATATCGAAAGAATGTACATTATTCAGATATCGATTCTTGAAATGCTAACTTCTAACAGGTGACCACTTAATATTTATTGTCAGGATCGACCAATAAGGGAGATACTTACTGACATACTTTGTGCTAAGAATTCTATATTGTACCAAGAATATAATACTGAATATAGCTAATAATAATAATAATAATAATAATAATAATAATAATAATAATAATAATAATAATAATAGGAATATATAATACAACATTTTATAACATAAAACAATCACTAAGTATAATACTTACAACCACCGATTGTCTGATAAACAAATGTAGATAAGATTGTACAATATAATAATATTGATGTTTGTAATATACTACTAATTAAATTCCTTTTTAATTCAAACATTTACAAGCTCTACTTTTATATCTCACAAGCAATTAATAATAATAACAGTAATAATAATGATAATAATGATAGAATAATATAACTATGTGTATAATGTTCCAAATACAATGTTGGGTATTTACAATGAATGCGATTGTATTGTCTACTGAAAATTTAATTGTATATCTTTATAAAGACTAATAAATGAATAGATAGGTTTTTCTTTTCAATGCTTCCACTTTGTTGTAATTCATATGTATGTATAGGTATCTATAATATTAACAATGATTGGGTAAATCTATTTACACCAATTATATGTATGAAATAATAGGTGACAGAATCAACTACAGATTTTCAGCAATGTTGTGTACATAAACATGTGGCGATATATATTTGTTCACACCGTTGGATACCGGCTCAGTGGTCTAGGGGTTAAGCGCTCGTGCACGTAACTGATAGATCCTGAGTTCGGATCTCGCGAAGTGGTATCATGGATGCACACTGCTGACGAGTCCTACAACAGGTTTTCCACGGTGATCTAGCTTCAACGGACTCATGATCTCAACCATTGAAATACATATTTATGTTCGTATTCCGGCTAGAACATTAAACATCATTTATTTTAAGAACCTTTATGTTGTAATTAGTTGCTGATTTCACTTTTTAAAATCTTTAAATAATGAAAGTGTTAGTTTGAATAAACAATCAATTTTCTCATAAATATGTTACATTTTTTAAATGGAATTTAATTAAACATCTTTAAACTTGACTAAATACTAGTCAGTAGTATGCAAAAGTTAAATATTTATAAATACTAGTAGTGTAGTGAACGAGAACACAAGTAGGAACAAATAAATTACAGAATGTTTTAGTACAATCAGAGAACCATACAGTAATGGCACGTACGAAACAGACTGCCCCCAAGAGTGCAGGTGGGAAGGTTCCAAGAAAGCAGTTAGCTACCAAAGTAGCACGTAAAAATGTGCCAGCTACGGGTGGTGTTAAGAAACCTCATCGTTATCGTTCTGGCACAGTTGCCCTACGTGAGATTCGTCTTAATCAAAAGTCGACTGAACTACTGATAAGTAAATAATTCATTTGCAAAATATCAATCAATCGTCTCAGATTTCATTGTTCTTTCATTTCCACGCCAATCATTCTTTATTCTCATTCTCTTTTCTTTGATCTTCTTAGCCTTCTGCTTCCAGATATTTCACTTTTAACTGGTGATACATACTACATAAACATGTCGATATTAGTAGTATACACCACAGTAGCATTGTGTATACAGTATAAATAAAAATTTTAAACGAGATATTTTTTTAATTTCATTTAGTCATTACTGTTTGTTAGTGAATTTATTCAGAATAACATTTAATAGTTTATCATGTCTGCATATAAGTATTTTTGAAATTCATTTGGTATTAGAAGCGATTTATGTGGATATTATAGTAATTTTAATAATTGAGATTACGATTCGATTAGAATTAGACCACCATGAAAAACCTGAAAGCATTGGATAGCCGTTTTATCCCAATACGGGACTCCTCAGCAGTGTCCATCCACGATCTTGCCTCGAGAGACTCGAACCCAGGACCTATCGGTACAATGGAAGACGGTCGCGCGATTTCGTGGAACTAATCTCAATATATAGTGCCCGCATTGTCGAGTCACCTAGACTGGTGGCCACATCGCAACATGTTCGATCGCATTCGATCTGCACTAAATAACGACTTGACACACATGATATTGATCACCACACAGTGAGTATATCAAATACCCCATTTACATACTGACTATATTACCCATAAATCTCTCAGTATCTATCTAAACAATCTTAATTAGTAAAACTCAGTTTGCTAAATAAGTTGATTTTTAAATGACCATTTACATCAAAATAGTGACAGGTTTAAAAAAACTCTAATTCAAATAAGCGACATGTATATTTCAACAACCATTCATATTCAACTGTTACATGGTATCAATGATTCGATGATGCAAATGTAAAACACAATTATGAACCTTAATTATGGAATATCATAACCTCATCTGTTTTGTAGATCCTGTCATTCATGTACAGTATTGTGAGAATTCCTAAAAACACTAGAATGATTGCAGAATACTCAAACTTTTCCTACGTCAATATAGTGGATAAAGTCATTGAGCATAGAAATTCATTTTCATAAACAATAGTCATCTATCCTCTTGAAAATTCACATTAAAATTTAACTCTATAGAATTGATTGTTTATGATTAATCTATAGTGTGAGGAAAAATTAATTAAAATGAGATAAAATATTATAAATCGAGAATGACTGAATAAATCTCAAGTATACCAATACTACACTTAATAAATGAAAAATAAAAATACAAATTGTTAGTTTCAGTTGGCAGTTAATAATTAGATGAATTTCCTTTCCAACTCACTGTCTTTGACCGGGGTGGTGGACACGGAGGGTCTACCTGGAGGAGTTGGAAAACCCTGATCTCAAACTACCAGTATCTTATAGGATAAAATGGCATATCAACCAATTATTGATCACTGGTTACCATAGAACTGCATCTTCTAAAGTTGCTCCACTGCGTTGTGGATTAGACCTTCACGTTAAAGGCTCCAAACGGGGCTCCTTAAGAAAACCAGCTGCTTCGGTTTAGCCACCCGGGCAGTATCCCAGCCCTCATACAAATCAATGATTGCTGCTACTGGCCTCATTGTTATTGTGTGGTCCATATGTATTCGATGAACCCTTGTACCAATATTTATGTCTTAAAATAATAGTTTATTTACAACATTTTTGATCAACTGACCACTAGTGTCACAGAAATAAAATTTAATCGCATGTTATTTGGATTGTATCAATGGTGAACTAAGTTGATTTTATTTTCCGTAAGCCTACATTTTAAATTCACTTGGTGTTGTATTACTTGTATCTTCCGATTGTTATTTTGAACTGCAATTAATCAGTCTCAGGTTGGCCTATGTGCATCCTGTGCGGATTGTCTCGATATAGCTTTAAGTCACAAGCTTTTTAAACTTAGATTATTCTAAAGAATTTATTATTTTCAGTGGTTGAAGCTAGACCACCATGGAAAGCCTGGAAGCACTGGATGGCCGTTTCGCTCTATTGTGGGATTCTTCAGCAGTGCGCAACCACGATCCCGTCTCATGAATTTTGAATCCAGGACTTACCAGTCTCGCGAGCAAGCAACTAACCACGAGACCACTGAGCTGGCTGGCATCCAACGTGTTAATGTCTAACTTCAACTAATCAACGAAATTGAACGACACATCCACAATTGTCTCCAGTCAATTACTATCTCGCAACGAACCTCGTCTAGCTTCAATTGACTAATGATCTCAACCATTTAAATTAATACAATATCCACAAAAACCCTTCTGATACTAATTTATTATTTATTTGATATTTTACAAGATAAGTTCATTCATATTTATCAAACGTGATACAAAAGAAATTAAGTTTATGACGTAAAGGTATCTCAATTTATGTTTGTGTGTGTGCAGAAAACAATAATTTATATTTTTCTACGAAAATGGGATCCAGTAATGTAGATGGTTAAAATCGATCAGGCAACCATCTTTCAACGTCTTTGATCAGTGATATTTTCACACTCAACATTGTCGAACTCCAATGATTATGATTTGTGTCATTACAACTCAAAAGACTTACCTATGAAAATTAATCACCAGTGAATAATTACTAATACTTAGTCACTTGTTTAAAATTGTTAATCCTCACAGAGGAGCATAGACCGCCTACTAGCACTCTCAGTCCAACTCTTTCCTGGGCAATACTTTACAGTTCTTTTCAGTTGCTATTTGTTCTTTTCATATCTGCTTTCAATTCACGACCTAGTATGTTCTTCGGCTTTCCTCTTTTCCACTTCCCTTCAGGATTCCAAGTTATGGTTCGCCTCGTGATACAGCTTAATGATTTCTGTAATGCATGTCTTATCCACTTCGAATGTCTTTTCCTAATTTTCTCTTCACTTGGAAGTTGGTTTGTTCTCTTCCACAGTAGGCTATTGCTGATGGTACCCGACTAACGGATATTGAATAGACAATATTGCATAGAAAATCGTTTATAAATACTTATACCTTCTTGATGATGGTTGTAATAACTCTCCACGTTTCAGCTCCATACAGTAGAATTGTCTTTACATTCGTATTGAAGATTCTGACTTTGATATCAGTTAACAATTGTTTTGAGTTCTATATGTTCTACAATTATAGGAATACTTCCTTCACTTTGTTAATCTTAGCCTTTACATCTGTATCAGAACCTCCTTGTTCATCGATGATGCTTCCCAGGTATGTGAATACTTCCACATCTTCCAAAGTTTCTCCATCAGTTACATTTTCTAATGTATACTTGTATATTATCATTCATATATTATTACAATTAAACTAATATAAAACATCAACGACAGATAGATCAAGGTTTGTTTGTTTTTTATCTGGATCTTTTTTATGCAATAAACAGTTTATCATTTCTATTTCCTTTCGTTTTTTTTCCCTTACAAGATTCAAAATTGATTACATAACAATAATCATTACTTGATTGTTTAAAATAAACATTACTAGTCATTTATCATGTTTACACCATGAAACATACGTAAACAATCTAGTTACTAATGGATAATTAGAAACTAGTTTTTTTTATTTTTTACTTTTTTTTTATTTTTTTTATCTATTCAATTGTTTATTTAGAACTTGATCCTTTCAACAACAAAAAAAAGAAGAAAAAAAAACGAATGTAAATCAATATATCATCATAATGCCTTAATCCTGATGGAAGTGAATTCAAACTATTTACTTAGTGACAGTTAAAATTTAACTAATAATCTAAACTATTTCATATATCTAAATATAGATATGGACACGTATGAACACCAAAAGATCCAAATCTTATGGAACATTGTTCTTAATAAAATTATATTGGGAGTTTATTGTTAATGTAAAATTGATGAGATGATTATGGATGAATGATCTTTGAATGATTCTAAATTGACCTTGAGAATGTTTACCCACTTACTAGGGTTATAAAATAGTGTGAAG